AGTAGCAGATTACTATCCTTCCTGTAATCTAGAAAGACATAATTAACACTTGCTTAACCACTTAGTTCTTACCTGCAACTCTTTCACTCGATTGGATAGGTTCAGGGCAAGGAATCAGTGAAAACTCTGTGAGGAACTAAATGAAGGATTATGTGAAGTTGGATCTCTATGCTTTAGACTCACGTTTGAATTCCAAGTCCTAGCGCTTCCAGGGACTCCAACCTTCACCAGCATTCAGCTGGTTGGTGTTAGACATCTGAAAACAACGATTATAATCGAAATGATCATTTACCTGCATCAATCAACATAGTAATTGAGGATCGAGATGAGGGTCCTCATCTCTCCAATACATTCTCTCATGAAAAGTTATCAGCCTGAGAATCTTACTATTAATGAGCTACCTGCTTCTGTTAGTCACCGGTTGTTCGTGCCAAGTCCGTATATCGCAAGCAAACCACTCTTATCAGCTTTAATAAATAGATTCGCTGACGTTAAACTGTCTCTGACAATCTAAACAAATGACAAGATCCCAGTTCTGTCAAACTCGGGCTGAGCTAGATACATACAGATGAACTGCATTCCTAAACTATCGATATAGCCTTTGTTAATTCTAAAGTTGATTATCATTTTTCTTACTTCAAAACACGGCACACAGCCATAAGCTTGAGCACAGCCGCTCACTATGATTGATGAGAGGAATAAAACTTGTATCAGGTTCATTTTTGACATCCTGTTCGAGAGAGCGGTGTGTTCGACTCGGCAAATGAATGAATGTCATACCTCTGCTTCAAACGATCTAAATAGGATAATTCTTCGAGCTGACCCCTGGAATAAGACAAACATCAGTATAAAAAGGATAATCGCAAACCACTTGTAGTTTTTATGCAAATCATTCAACACCCAATCTGATAAGTAGGAAAACACATCCAACGTCCGATTTTAATACCAACAACTCAAAAGAACACTTTGGTGATCTTATGAAACACTTACCTTTTTCATTCCGGACTTCCCTCTCGAGAGAAAGGACTATTCAAAAAACCAATCCCTGGAATGAGACAAACATGAACATTG